TGTATTTTATGTAGAACATACTTTATATTTTGACTTCAGCGCCAATTCAGGGTGAATTTGTTGGAAATCTATGACTTATTATGTTTCATACGCCAAATTCGAACCAAATCGGACCATAAATACGGTTTTTCAAAATATCTCAACCTTTTACGCAAACATGATTCTACTTACATAGCCAGTATATATTTTAAAAAGCAGACAAATCGGCCCGTAAATACGCTAGATATAAAATTTTTTTTTTTGTCGTGGTGGACCTTCCGATGGAAACACCCATATATAAGCCTCTACAACTGTATAATGAATCAAATTCAATGACAACGAGTGTATTATGTCTTATGGAGAAATGAGAAGTTGTAATTATTCGCTTAATTAATGGTTAGTAAATTATACTTTAGTCGACTGCGGTCAGAAGACATAACCCGATTTTTTATCAGAATCCTTGAATGCTACCCGGAAGCTGGCACACATACATTTGAAGAAGATAATATAGTACAAAATACATAGGTACATCTACATATTTTTGTAATTCCATTTATTACAGCTGAAGTCACTTTAAATGTTGTTCAATGCGCAACAGGAAATCATGGTATCTAGATAAACAAATGTTCAACACAAGTGTGAATTTATCTGTTTCGTATGATGCCAAAATGTCTCTATACGCCTCGTGAGAGTAACTTAACGAAAAAAACTCTTATATAGCTAAAAGATAAAAATCAAAGTTTCTGGTTGCTGAGAGTATATTAACGTTAAAAGTTTACTGTTAAGTTAGATTGCTGCTAAAGAGAACTTAACATAGAAGTTAAATCTGTTAAGTGTTAACATAGCAGCGATTTGTTAAAAATCTGTTGCGTTCACCTTCTCTGTTATGTGCCTAGGTAAATATCTATTCGTTAAATTTCTTTGTTAACTGAAGTCTACCAAAACCTAAAGGATTACGCATTAATGTGGCTAAGCTGGACAAAAACTTAAAGCATGTTCCAAAAGCCCAAAATATTGTCTGTCTCCATTAAAGAAGAGCAATTCAAAGTGGCTAGAGGAACAAATGGGACACGCTCCGCAATGATGCAAATAATGAGCTGAGGATCTCGGATATAAAGTAGTTATGAAGTGGCTTGGAAGTATGGTACCAAAACCGAAAGCTTTTGAACAGGTTGGTGAACTTTGCCAAATATTCGAAGGGCTTCTGGTAGAAATCATAAAACCTCCAACATCAAAGTTAGGTTAGGTTGAAGCGGCTGCCTTCATCCAACGTAGGAGATAGGTACACTTAGACCCAGTGAACTCGTTATGAAACCAGTTGAGAGCTGGAATTTGAACCCGTCCATTCACCTGAAAGTGGAACTTGTGGGTTAGGTTAAGCAAGTGCTAGAATTCATGAATTTATGCTTCGCTTAGGTTGGTTAGACAGACAAAGAGGTGGTGGTGAAATGAGCCTATTCGTGCTCATGAAAGGGCAGGGCAGTGACAGCGGTAGTGTTTCACGCTCTCGAGTTCGTCCATGTGACGGCAACTGCGGCAGAAGTCAATGGGAGGCAATCCAATTCTGCTAGCATGACTTCCCATCAAACAGTGGCCTGTAGTTATACCTTATTATAGGGCATTCTAACCAAATGAGTGCGCCGGATCCTTTCTTGTCGAGGCTGGGTTCTTCCGTCCATCTTTTATTTGGCTTCTCGACGAAGTGTGCCTTGAGCCATGCCTTGCAGGTAGATAGCGTTATGTGTGCCGCATGATAAAAGTTGACGTCAGACAGGGTGGTTCCCCTTATCGGAAGCTCATCTGCTGCACAGTAACGATTAATGTCTCTGTGGCCTAGCACCCACACAATGTGGATAGTCGACTTTGTAGCTAAATCGTTGAGTTCTTCCTACATTCTGTCGCATTTCTTGACAAGGTTTCACAGCAATATAGTGGCTCAAAAGCTGCTTGGCTATCAGAATATATGGTTACTGAAGGCAGGTTAAGAGAAGATTCGATTAGCCAGAGTGCAGCCTCTTTTATGGCTGTGAGCTCTGCTTGGCAGACGTTGCTTTGGCCTGGCAGTCTGGAGCAGAGGTCTAATGAAGGGTCCTTCGAATGTAGCCGTGTAGATGGCTGTAGAGTTATCTTGGAGGTTCCAGACCGAGTCATTCTTCCAGTCCTTCCACGAAGGTATACTAGTGGAGAACTTATTCAAGAGCTCCAGCGGTAGTTTTGTGTAATCTGGGCACCTAAACGTATCGGAATAGTTGGTAAGAATGTTGGTGTTACCGAATCTGATGTCTTTCCATCATTTAGGCTTTCTGCATTGCAGCTCACCCTTATCTTCGCAAAAAGGTCTACGGTCACAAAGTTTAGGATTGTTTCCTCGGCTTGGGTGGGTATGGATGGCAGCGCAACTGTGACTAGCCTGCATGCCGCCCATTGTACCTGGGTAAGCTTAGAATTAGTGAGTGAGTTATACAGTAATATCCACCAGTATATGACACCGTTTATAATATCTAAGAACTCCCCTCTTTACGACAGAAGAACTTGAAATTGCTGCACTTAAATTTAAAAATTACAAAACCATAGGCCGATCTGGTGTGCCCGCAGAAATGTTAAAGATATTGACTTCTAGGCGGCCAAAGTTCCTTCTCCATATGCGCAGTGCATGCTTGATCGAAGGAGCAAAAGCCAACTCAAAAAAACAACAAAAAAAAAAGCTCATTAACTCTAAGGCATACTCGCTACAGCAGCCAAATTCCTAGAGAGACGGTTAAATACCTAACATATATACTTTAGCTATCAACAACGTCTCAGGACTTTTGCCAAGGCAACGTATCCTCGAAACTGGAAAATCAGCAGAAACAGCAATAGGATGAGCAGAGTAGTAATAATACTTGTGACTTTAGACGAAAAACCTACATTCAAAGGCGCTTGCTAGGCAAATGTGATGGAGGCGCATGAGAAAAGATTCAATATGTCTCCTCTTCTTTATACTTGGCTCCACAACCGTTCGTAGAATTGGGCCGCGACCAAAAAACTTCACTAATTGCCTCTCTCCATAGCGCGGTTGCGCTAGTTGTACATCACGAGTGCAGACAAATCCTTCCGCACATGGTCCTCCCGTTGTGTTCGTGGGCGGCCTTTTTTCGTTGCCTACACATGGGTGATGAGTAGAAAGATATTTTCACTGGAGCCTTGTATTCAATATATGGCTTTATCTAAAAAAACGTAGAGAGAGCTTAGCTCTGAGGATATTATACCCATTAAACCGCCATCGGGGGCTGCTCAAGTGTCCATTTTTGCCTCGGATCTATGGAGAGCTTGCTAACACTGAAAACCGAGTTGATACACATATGACATCGCCGGCGTTATCAACTAAATATGGAAGAAGTTCGGAGAAGATTGCACCATTTAATGATCAGAACTCAAGAGTAGTGGAAAGCTCGTCGCCTCGAGACAATGACGGAAAAAACGAAAGCCCTTTTCTTCTCAAACGACCCTATACCACTGGAAGTGAATTGGCAGACAGTGCCCAAATATTTATTACAAGAAAGTCGGTGCGCTTAGTTGGCATTAGGCTCCACCATAGACCAGAATTTTTTGGGGGAATATAGTGTCTTAACTAATTAAGACAAATCCAACTACTAACTAGAAACGAAAAAATGCTGTGGAATTTTAGACAAAGGGCAAGGCTAAAAATCGTGGAGGGAAAATAAATTAGGCGCCCTATGGTAATGAGTGAAGCACTGAAATAACGAATAGAGAGGCAGGTAGATAAGTTGGTTCGTACACAATCTGGACCTGTGAGTCAACAGAAACGGGCTCTTTAAACCCGTTAAAGAAAACTTTACACAACATGGAAGGCTGCAGTATTTCTAAATCATCAGAACACTCTTTCTTCGAATGCGCACAATGGTCGGATAAACGACGCGCACTTGAAAATATAGTGAGTACAATATCTGTAGATAATATAAGGCAGCAATGAGGAAACATGCATACATATCAGCCAAAAAGTGGGACATGGAGGTGGATGCTTCTATTGAACCTAGTTAATGAGAAATATGAAAGACCATGCTGAGGTAATCCGAAAAGAGGTACCTGGGTAGGCGATGACTGCTAACCAAGGATAACTTTTTAAAACCTCGAATATACCGCTGCTCTGGTACAAGAGCGTGGACGTTAACAAATTCGTTGAGGTGACCTTTGAATTATTCTAGTGAAAGATTCTGCGGAAGATTTGCGGATCATTGCGAGTTGGCAACGGCGAATACGTCAAACGATTGAACGATGAGCTCTACAAAGACATAGACTTAGTGCGGCTCCGCTGACGCGGTCAAGTTTTGCGAATGCTCCCGAACCCTCCAGCCCTGAAAGTATTCAACTTGTAACCCGCCGATAGTAGCAGAGGAAGTGGAAGGCCTCCTTTGCGATGGAAAGGCTAGTTGAAGAAGGACTTGGCTACACTTGGCATTTCTTATTGACATCAGTTGGTAAACGAAGAGAACCGACTTGCGCGCCTTATTCGACTCGGCCAAAATCGCTTAGGCGCTTACAGCGCCGAAGAACTTGAAGAAGAAGAAAGTGTTTTTAACATATTTTTAGCTGCTGTTGTTAAATGTGTTGATTTTATGTACATAATTAATGCTGCAATATTATCTCGACTCATTTGAAGTATCTGAGAGTTTACAAGCTTCCCATAGTTATACGCTCTGTTGTTGCAAAACAAGATGATTTGATGAGATAATTTTTCGTTGTGCTCTCTGTTTTGGTTGTTAGGATTATACAGCTGAGTATGCCTACAGTAACATCTACCTAAATATTAATTTTAATACATTCAAACGTATGCCCTCCTTGCTAACACACTTACATATATACAATTACTGGGAGCAAACATTTCCGGAAAAACGCTAGCTCAGTGCAACGATTCCGATTGGAACAACTGTAATGCTCTCTTCCGCTCCAATTTCATTGAAAATTGTCTACCTACTGACACATTATAAACGCCTGTAAATGCATTGCACTTTCTCTCCTCACGAATGCAAGATTGTTTCTCTCGACACCCGGGAGCGCTTTGATGCGCTATATTGCGCACCATCGCCTTGGACGACAACAGTACAACCAACGACCACCACTGCCACCAACACCACCATGGCTGCCATCAACATAGACTTCATCCACCGCACAGCACAACATGCGCTCGCTCATCGTCGTCCGTAAGTACGAGTACCATGATACCATATTGAAGGGCCAGTGAGTTGGAGCTGGAGCTGATGAGCCATCGTTCAACTGTAACGTAACTGTGCAACGAATCGACGCACAGTCGCAGCCGAACACTCTACGGAGTAAGAACAAATTTACTGTAAGCGCGCTTGAACGTCAAAAGAAAATAATCGACCGACCGTTCGACCGAACGCTTGTATGAGGTACGTCCGTGTCAGCAACAACGGCGGGTATTTTACCGATTTTTATTTTTGTTATTTACGTGCAAAATCAAGCAACGACTACAAGAAATGTCGAGAGTCATTGATTGAGAGGTGTTTTGCCATTGAACGTGTGTGGGGTTTTGGCGTTGAACGTTGAGAACGTGAACGTGAACGTAAACGGGCGCGTACGGACGTTTATAGGTGTAGTATTGGGTGTGCGTGTGTACCCGTACTTCCGCTGTATCGATGTTGCTACGCGTTAACGTCGCGTCGTCGCGTAAAACGAACTTTGCCGCAAGTTTTGGTGTAGCATTTCCGCCAACAGCGCGCGCGTATCCTTGCTATGTATTGAAAGTTTTTTAAATTGTGAAGTTAAAAGTAAATTGACGAAAATATTTATGTACGAATTGTGTTTGCAATTTGGCGCTTGTGCCTAAGCTAGTGAGCTAAGTTTCGAAGATTAAAGCAGTGTAGAATATTTATACATGGTACTTCGATTCGCAATCGAATAAATTTTGGCTAACGGTAATATTTTATGGAAAATGCTTAGAAAATTTAAGTTCAACATGACAACGACGATGTTGTCAGTACGTGCAACGATGAGAAGCAACAAATGTGTTGGCTGAAAAAAGGCGTGAAAAGAGATTTGAACAAAATTTGCGGTGGAAGTGGGAGTGAGTAATATTTTCTTCATGCGTAGCAGCATTGTTACGAAGGGAAAAAGAGGTGTACCATAAAATCGTGGCGGAGAGAAAAAAATTTAAACATTTTTGCAAAAAACTTATGTGTATGGAAAACAAGTTTACAAAAATTAAAAAAATAATTAAGAATTCTTTAATGTGAACTAACTGTAAGGTATATAAACGTAAATAAAGCCGAACCATTTATTGAAAAAAAAAATCTGAAGAATGTAAATAGCAAGTTACAGTGTGTTGAAAGATTTAAATTACAAATATTTTAAAGAGCTACAAGTTGTTCTTGAAACACAAGTTTTCCGATAACTTTTGAGATTTTTAAAATAAAAAAACTGCGCTACGAAAATTTTTGTAGAACTAAAGAACAAAAAGTAAGTAAATAATTGCTTACTGAAAACTAAAAAGTCTGTAAGTCTCTCATAAAGTATTTACAAGCACATATCAAGTAAACAAAAAATAAAAAAAAATTATAAAATAAATGAACTGATTTTTTATCAAAAACAAATATATGTATTCTACATTAGTGTTGGTAACAGAAAAATCACTAAAACAAGCAATACAAAAATAATTAAAAACAAAAACAAAACAAAAGTTAAAATTAAAATTTCAATTTCAAAAACCCCACTTTGTTTCCTTTAGCTGTAGCTGTATTTGCTGTGAATTGCATTTATTTGATATCGAAAACGAAATATAGTGCCCCTTTAATACACACACACACACAAAAATTTAAGATTAAAAAAAAAACTTTAAAAATCCAAGCATCAAAAACCAACGAAACGCTTTTCAAAATTTGTAAGAAACAAACAGCAAAACAAAAAACAAAAAAATATATATATTACTAAACACTCGCTAATAAAAATTTTCATACATACAAATTAGTGTGCTTGTAAATTTATTTACGTGTTTAAGCAATTAAAGCCAAGTTACGAACGCGAAGAGCGCAGCAACCAACTACGTGTAGTCGATAAATCTGTGAAATTGCTTCATTTTCAAAAGCTATTTACATACCTGCTGCCTTCGTATAGTGTTCCACCTGCGTGTCTGTGCATGTTTTTTTTTTTATGTACATACTTTCATGTATGTAGTGTTTTTGTGTTCTCGTTGTTGTTTATTGTATAAAACTTTAGCTGCATACATTTTTAATGGATTTTTACACTTCACGGTGTGTGGATTTAATATCGATCACTTCGGCTTGCCTGTGAAATAAATTTATTTTTTACGCGTACAACTACGAGTATACAGGTGAGTGGCGATTTCGTAATACTATGTAAGAATGTATGCATTTCTCACCCACAAGCACACTTATAATTCATACACCTACATAATTAATTAACTAATTAATTAGCGGCAGGAATTTTTTATTTTTTTTGTAATATTTCGCCGGGTGTGTGTTTATTACGCACATTGCGAGTGTGTTCAATGGTAATTTGTGTTGTGTGGTTTCATTGGACACAGTTTGTTCAAAAAATACACTTTAAAATTTATGGTTGTATTAATTAAAGGAAACTTAAATTGTTTTTATTACTGGCCCTGATAGTTGTACTAAATAAAATTATCTGTATGGTTTATGAGAAAATTTCATACGCGTGCCATTGGATTGGTTGCTTGGTTGCTGTACTTCCTAGAAGCTGGAAAGGATATAATTTGCGCATTTTTAAGAAAATTTTACATTTCTCGTGGGAAACGTTTTGGTCTAACCTTAGCGGCTTCATACAAAAAGGTCCCTGCCTTCGCCAGTTCATCACGCTTCTCCTTGCCTCCAATGTTCCTACATATGTATTTATTTCCGAGAACGGAGTCAAGACATACAGTAGTTGACTGATTTACTGGGCGCAACTCCTTTCTGCTTTAGTTTCAAAAATGGAGATGCTATTACCAATAGCACCGCCTGGCTATCAGAATACATATACCTAATTTGATGCTTGTATTCGCTCCAAATTGCAGAGTTCCTCATGGTATACTCTCACTCCTACAGCGCAGTACATCCTAGATACAGTGGCTCACAGCTTATTTCATGCACGCATTTGTCTTCATTTTGGCGACAGCCCGTCGCGCAGTTAACGGTATCTTACTTTTCTACTTTTTGTAGCTCGCGTTAAATTATTGTTTTAGGCCATTTTTAGTATGCTTTTGAGCGTTAAGTGATCAGTACAAAAATTTAGGTCCAATGTTCTATCGTAGGATGATTGAACAGCGAGAGTTGGTCATAAACCATTTCAAAAATGGAAAATCGCAGCCAGAAATTCCTACATTAGTTAATTTGAGTAGTGCAACAGTGCAAAATATAATTGAGCGCTTCGTTCATGAAAATCGGATACAAAATAAAGGCCGGAATACACCAAATCAAATTTTCAATGAACGTGACGGGCGTTTAATTGTGCGAAAAATAAAAGAAAATCAAAAATTATCGACTCCCAAACTAACCACAGAGCTTCAGCAAGAACTAGGAAGATCATTTTGCGTCGAAATTGTGCGGCGGGTGCTACGTGCACATGACTTCAATGGCCGAGTAGCGCGAAAGAAGCCATTCATTAGCAAAAAAAAAACAACAACTAAGCCGAGTTGCCTTTGCCAGGGAGCTGGAAACTAAGGATTTTGGTTTCTGGAAGAGAGTAATTTTTTCTGACGAGTCAAAGTCCAATCTTTTTGACTCTGATGGAATGACTTACGTTTGGCGGACACCCAGTACCGAGCTCCAGAAAATGGAATTGTCCACATTTAATGAGACCACCAGCCCAGTCACCCGACATGAATGTGATTGACAATTTATGGTCGTTGTTGCAGAACAACATCAGCAAACACCGCATAAGCAACAGAGAGCAGCTGAAAAGTGCAATTTTGGAAGAGTGGGACAAAATCGGACCAGAAACCAGGAAACAACTAGTACAGTCAATGCCAGCTAGGCTGAAAGCTGTATTGAAGGCCAAAGGATACCACACTAAATATTTATTAAATCATCAATTTACCTTACTTATTTTTAGAAAGAATACGCTGCATGAAATAAGCTGTGCCATAAAACTTGGTCATGTTTTTAGTTATTAATTCTTAATTTGTTAACCCTCTAATAGGGCAATTTTTTTATGAGTTGAAAAATTCAGGAATGGGTGATTTTAGCGCGAGAAATCCAAAAATGATGTCCATTTCGATCTGTGACAGTTACTTTTTCCCACAGGGGAGAAGAACCAAGACCGTCTGGAGACGGGCTCGCCGATATACTTTGACCGGCAATCCCCCCTGCAGACGGTCAAAAATGCAATCTGGGTTTTTACATGTCGGCAAGCCCGTCTGTAGACGGTCTGTGTTCGAAAGCAACTTTTTTCCATTTCGAATTGTGACATAATTATAAAACTTATATCAAAATACGGTGCTTTTAACTACGAAATCCACCGAACTTTTTTTTATTAAAAAATGTTTCAGAAGAAAAAATTTCTTTAATTACGAAATTACCAAATCGCAAAAAATAATTAATTTTATCCGTGTCTTTCACAATCAGTAATTCAACTGCCGATTAAAATAAAACGGATTAACATAACGAATTCAAATTTACTTCGCTGTAAGGGTACGATTTTTTGTCTAAAGATCGTGCCTTACGAATATAGAAAAAAAATATTATAGGTGCACTAGAAAGGCGTTTAGTTAACGACCGTCTGGAGGCGGTTCAGCCTACTAGAGGGTTAAACAATCGGTAAATAATAAAAATGGAGCTGCTTTTTAAAACTACACTTTCATTTCAACAATTTGGCGTTTAAATTGCAGCAGTCGAAATTTAAAACTTTACCTGCAAGCTGTGAGCCACTGTATGTCGGTGGGTGTGAAGAGCGATAGCCTCTCTTCGCCATTTTTTTCTGGATGGAATAGCACTTACTTGCTACAACTCAAGTCTAGATTGTTAAGCATATATGTACCTTGTCTAGTTAATGAGCGGCCGATGCATAATACATATTCGAAGTTTCTATCCCTCCAAGCGCTGACCCGACGAGTCTGATGCCTGGGACTTTTGTGATTTTTTTTGTTGCGGGCTGAATTAAACATTTATAGTGCAGAAAAAAACTTAAGTTTTAAGTAATTGGTCGTAACTAAAAGAGCCGATTATAATGCCGGCTTGCCACTAGGTATTAAATGGCACAATTTTAATGACAAACTTAGGCATTAAAAAATACCTGTGTAATTACGTTAAGAAAAATTGTCATTAAATTCGTTTTTTAAATGGCACACATTTTCGTCATTTCAATGTCTAGTGGAAATTCGGCATAATTAGTTTTGTCGATACAAAATTTTCCAAAAACATTTTACACAACAAAATTTAGATTACTGAGCTGTGTTAGGTTATGGTAGAGCTGGGGTTCCCTGCTGTTATTTTATCAAGCTTTGAAAACTTCAAAAATCTTAGAGTTATAACTAGTACCAAATATTCTCTTAGATTGAAGAAAGCTTTGAAATTCTCAAAAATCTCAAAAGTTGCACTCAATTGTCAAAATGTGAGCGAATAAAACTCCATTTTCGATGTTTCTCATTTTTCGCTTATTGCATTTAATATAATAATTTCTCAAAAAAGATTGCCTTTTTTCTTTTCCAAAAAATTCAACAATCCATTTTGCCGATACCAGCAGAAAATGTGAAAAGTGCTATACTTTAATTTTGTTTCCCTTTCTTTTATTTTATTGGTTTCTTTTATTTGCTTTTCTTTTATTCTAGTTTAATTTCATTTTATTTCATTTCATTTTATTTTATTTTACTTCATTTTATTTTGATTTTTAATTTCTATTGTCTTTTATTGTTTCTTCTTTTAAGGTTTACAGCGAGTATTGGTTGGTATACAACCAAATATTTATCACTGTTGATTATAATGTATAATATTTTATTTTGCTTTGTTTAATTTAATTTAATTTAATTTAATTTAATTTTATTCTACTTTATTTAATTTATTTTATTTTATTTATTTTTACTTTATTTTATTTAAATTAAATTTTATCTATCTATCTATTACATTATCAAGCCATAACCGCTAAAATAACGTAAGCGACATTTTTTCAAAATTATATTTTTGAAGCAGAAATGCATCTAGTTGCTCCAGGAATATTTTTGCATAAAAAAAAATTAATGTCGCTTACGTTTTTTTTTGGGCGATTAGGGCTAGTTATGTCTAGTTTGATTTTATTTTATTAATTTTTTTTCTTTTTGTTTCTTTTCTTTTGAATATTGCACCAAGGGCATTTGCCTGGAACAACCCAGGAAATCTTAGAAGCTTTCACTAAATTTTCAAAATTTGTATAAAATGTGTTTGTTTTTAGAATATTGAGAATAAAAATTTTTAGGTTTTAGTAAGTCTGATTTAATTCCAATGCATAGGACATGTAATTTTTAGTCCGAATATATTTTATAGGCCAGTCAATGCTTTTAAGCGCCAATACGAAACGCTACCATTGCCATATTCCCTATCGCAAATTATAAGCTCAAGCGGTCTTCAGAGACTTGCCTTCGGATAGCCTAACTCAATTTTAGATATTTGCGCCAACCAATAGATGAGGTTGACGAAAAAATTTAATGGAATGAAAGCAGAGCTTAAAAAGCTGCTACAACTACTGATGGAGAATCGATTGTTTTATCCTGTCAGTACTATCGAGTTTTATCGAACACTATCGATAGTTGTGAGGGGCTCGCATCATCTTTCAAGAGACACTGGCGAATCTTTCGTGAATTAAAACATTTGTAAGAATTTAGCTTTCTTATTTACGAAGCTTCGCTTGAGCTGTGAAGCCTTTTTGTTTCAAAATGCACGCCATTAAAAACAAGTTACATCGTGCGTAAAAAGTGAGATTAAGCTCCGACTCGATTTTCAGTACAAATTCTTGAACTCGAGCTCACTTCATCAGTGCATACCGGTAGCCACAAAACTTAGCTTTAATTTGCATATCGATCGTATACTTTATTCAAAAGTATTAACTTAAAACTCTCAGTTTTAAAAAAACTGAATTAATGCTTGATTTTTTCGTATATTCACTGGTGCTAAGATAAAAAATACTTAAATCTTTTTTTTATGCCAAATTTTGTTCTCGGTCGAATTATTTCCTTTTTTTGTGTTGAATGAGAAATTTTTATGAATAGATACTCTTTTGAAGAACAATGAGTAAGAAATTTTCGATAGGTTCGAATATTTTACACTATCGCTATCGAAACTATCGAATGAGTGCACTATCGTTAATTCTACAACACTAGCTACAAATACAACAAACACAATAAAT